TCCCAGGGATCCAGAGGGGGACAGGCTGGTGGGAAAGGAGGTGGGGAGACGCTGGGTTTCACAGTGGTCAATTCACATGCTGATCATCTCCACTGGCTTCCTCCGTGCCTTCCCCAGGGCCCCCATCAATCGCTGTCAGGCACACTCACCTGCACCATTCTTCTTCCTAATTATTATTACTGTACTTATTTTTTTGTCAGTCACGGGACTTGAACTCAGGACCTGGGTATTGTCCCTGAGATTCTTCATTCAAGACTAGTGCTCTCCCACTTTGAGCCATAGCACTACTTCTGGTTTTCCAGTTTTCTGCACTTTCCTGCCCCAGCTGTCTTTGAATCATGATGCCCAAATCTCAGCCTCCTGAGTAGCTATGATTACAGGCATGAGTCACTGGTACCTGGCTTTATATAATTATGATTATTATTATTTAATTGTAGTAAACTGTTAAGCCTCCTGCCTCAGCCTCAGTAGTTCTGCGCTCACAGATGCGTGTCAACATGCCCAGCTCATTCTAACTTTTTTTTTTTTGTCTTTTTTGGGTGCAGTCATGGGGCCTGAACTCTGGGCCTGGGCGCTGTCCCTCAGCTCTTCAGCTCAAGGCTAGCACTCTACCACTTGAGCCACAGCGCCACTTCCGGCTTTTTTCTTTTTGCTTATGTGGTGCTGAGGAATCGAACCCAGGGCCTCATGCATGCAAGGCAAGCGCTCTACCACTGAGCCACCTTCCCAGCCCTTCATTCTAACTTTTGTGCGTGTGCATGTGTGTGTGTGTGTGCACGAGTGTGCCAATCCTGGGGCTTGAACTCAAGACCTGAACACTAACCTTGAGCTTTTTGCTCAAGGCTAGCACTCTGCCCCAGCTCTACTTGGGGGCTTTTTTGGGTAGTTAATTGGAGTCTAAAGGAGTCTCATGGATCTGAGATCAAAGTTTAAGGTTGGCCCGGGCAAAAAAAAGTCCCCATGAGACTCTTATTTCCAATTAACCCCTCAAAAACCAGAAGTGGTGCTGTGGCTCAAGTGGTAAAGTGCTAGCATTGAACACAAAAAGGTTCGACAGCGCCCATGCCCTGCATTTAAGTCCCACAACTGACAAATAAATAAACCAAGGAGTCTGATGGACTTTCCTTCCTGGGCTGGCTTTGAACGGTGATTCTCAGATCTCAGCCTCCTGAGGAGCCGACAGGCCTGAGCCACCGGCGCCCAGCTTCATTCTAGTCATTTTTATGTGCACAACACAGTGACATTACATATTTTGCTCCTGTCCATTTTTCAGTGTCCTTTTCCTGTGTCTTCCACATCGATGCCACAAGCATTGGGGTGACAGGTCCCCACTCCCTGTCTGCCACAGACCCTGAGGATATCACCCACAGACGCTCAGATGGTGACCACCCACGGGGCTAGCCCCAGTCACACCCCACAGCTTCAACACAGGGCGGCTCACCTGAACAGGTATTCGCATCGCAGACCTCGCCGCACCCTCTCATGTCACCATCACACGGTGTCCAACGCCATCACACCAACCCAAGGCAAGGCTGTGTCACAGACTGTGTCACAACACACCGGGTACCCAGTGACGCCGAATGTCACTTATTCTGCTCCTCTTTCTCACACACACACACAAACACACACACACGCATGCATGCACGCACATACAATGGCAGCTCCCTCACATAGGCACCCAATGTCCTCCATAGATGTGTGTAGCATGACACCCCTTCCCACAAGATGCCCCCCCATCCTCACAGGCTCCTCATGGACTTCTGTTTCCAGTCACAGTGGCTCTTACCGACAACCTTCGCTTTCCTGAATGTGCATCCAGCCTGACCATGGTCACACACGCGGACTGCACCCAGACCCTCTCCCACACATCCACCCCACACAGTGTCACCCCACAAATGTCCCTTCACACTGCCTCGCTCACATCCAGGGTCACACACAGCTGCACTCGTTTCCCTCTATAACTTCCTGTCTTTCCAAGCCTGGCAGAGGCCAGGAAACAATCAGTACTGTAGGAAACGCCAGGGGCTGAGGCTGGGGGGGGGGGCATTCTCTGACCCAGGCTCCAGTGGGTGAGGACAGCGGCACCGTTCTGCGCCAGCTGCTTCTGCAGCAGCCCTCTGAGTCTGGCACACGGGGAGGGGAGGCAAGGACAAGGCCATGAAGCCAGAGCTGAGGTGATCTAATGACCCCCAACTCTAATCAGACGCCCCTGTCTTGGTCCTAGGGCTGCCCAGAGGTCCATAGGGCCCTGGATCCTCAAGGCCACCCCTCAGGCCTCTGCGATGTGGGAAGAGAGTCTGGGACCTCCCAGCTGCTCCCTAAGCAGCACCAGCCTTGGACCCTTAAGGCTCCAAGGTCCCTTCCCCACTGCCCTCACACCGCAGCCTGAAGGTGATGCTGTCCCCGCCAGTTTACACATGGAGCCCCCCAGAGAAACGTGGCCACGGGGAAGGGGGAGCCAGTGGCCTCTGAACACCCTCCTTCCTGCCCACCCCACAGGCCCCCCCACTTTAGAGGACAAGTTCCCCCCTCCACCAGTCTCCCTGGCCACATGCTGCAGGGGTGGATGAACTCAGCTGTATTCACCAAGTTTAGCTCTCCTCATGGCCTGTGACTGTCTTCTACAGCCACCTTATACCACGAGGCGGCCCCTGCGTCTCAGGGCCTCAGCAGGTTCAGGTTCTAGGAAGAGAGGAAGGGGAGGGAGGGGAGGAGGACGACTTAGGGAGGCAGAGGCTCTGGGAGACACTAGAACAAAGGTAAGGACACAGATGGTACAAGGTCCAGTTGCGACCAGACCCTTACTTCTTGAGCCCCTTTGTGGAGGGGGTCTCCTCCTGGTTTTAGTCTTCTTTCTTTCTTTTTTGTGGGTCATGGGGCCTGAACTCTGGGCCTGAGCTCTTCAGCTCAAGGTTAGTGCTCTACCACTTGAGCCACAGTGCCACTTCTGGCCTTTTCTTCTTATGTGGCACTGAGGAATGGAACCCAGGGTCTCATGTATACAAGGCAAGCACTCTACCACTGAGCCACCTTCCCAGCCCTCCCCCCCCCTTCCTGTCTCTGTTCCTTTCTTTCTTTCTTTCGTGGGTTGTTGGTCTTGAACTCTGGGCCTGGGCACTGTCCCTCAGCTCTTCAGCTCAAGGTTAGCACTCTACCACTTGAGCCACAGCGCCACTTCCGGCTTTTTCTGTTTATGTGGTGCTGAGGAATCGAACCCAGGGCCTCATGCATGCAAGGCACCTGAGCCACTTCCCAGCCCCGTATTCTTATTTCTTCCAACAAGCCCAATGTGTTGTGGTGTACAAACCTCCGAGTAAGTGATAGTGAACACCGGACTCAGACATACACACACACACTCTCTCTCTGTCTTTCTCTCAAAGATATGTCCTGCCAGCCACCGACCACTCTGCTGCCCCATTCCCAAGTGTGCTAATTAGCATTAATTATGGTCCCCTCCCTGGGGTCTAGGAAAGGGCCAAGGAGCTATGACTCCCCTGACTCCCAGACCCTCCTTGCGGGGGGGCCCCTCCAGTCACCCTGCCTGCCCTGCCAGCCTGCCCCGGGCAACACCCGTGTCCATCCCCTTCCTGCGTGGAACCCATCCCCATGGGTACTGCTGGGGGAGGGGCTCTTCCAAAGCAGCTTCTGCTGTCCCTCCTGGCCCCAGGCTGCCCCCAGCACTGGGAGGGGGGTGGGCAGAGCGTGTGGAGGGAGCGCCAGGCTGGGCAGACACGATGGGCCCCCGGCCCCTCCGAGTGCTGTCCAGGCCTCACCACCCCCATCCCCTGCGCGGGATGCAAGTCCAGGCCTGACGGCTCCTACCTCGAGAGAGGTAGATACAGGACACCACCACGGCAAAGCCCTCCCCAACGTCTCCTTCCCCCCGGGGGCCCGGGGAAAGAGTCTGAGCTTGAAATCTCGGTCCCTATCTAGGAAAGGTGTCGGCAGGTCTCAATGACACAGCCCCAGGGCCTGGCTGGACTGGAAAACAGACCCAGACCAGCGGCCCCGGCCTCCCTTCCCTTCCCAGGCAGGAGTAAAGGACGTGACAGACAATGGCGGGGACTGGGTGGGAAAGTGGGGGGTCGGGGGCGGCTAGTCATCCTTAAATGCCTTAGCAAAGCACCCGACCCAGGGCGGCCAAGGCCCCAGCTCCAGCCCGACTCAGAGCGGGAGCGCGGCGCGGGCGGCTCCGAGCCCCCACCCCCCGCAGACGGCAGGGTGGAGGACGGCCCGGCCTCCGGGGGGCGGACGCCCCGGGACACACATACACACACACACCCCGGGGCTCCGTGACACCCCCAGGTCCTCCGGCTCCGCGCGCGCACGAACGGCCGG